AGATAAAAAAAAAAAAAAAAAGAAACATTTTGCTCTGCCATGACCTTTCTCTTCAATCTAGCTGAAAATTTCTAGCCAGATGGTACACCGGATGTACAGAACCACCAGTGTACAATACTGAACAGATGATCGATAGCTAAAGATGAGTGAACTTCTTCTCTGCCTGCAGGCATAACACTTATGTTAACACGTCAACAAGTCTTAGTTTGCAACGATTACACCATCAGTGGTTTCGGCATTATCGTCTGACAGTCACACGTCTACAAGGAAAATTGCTTGGAAAATTGAAGATTCAAACGCAACCAAACCACACTGGCCTACGGGTTACTATGTAAACTTTTAAACTCAGAGTGGTGTGGGTTTGAGGTTTGAGATTTTGAACAACGGATCAACATCATGGAACACGGGTAGTAACTCATAAGTGCTCTGTTCTTCTTCTAACTCAAGTCTGAGTCTCGAAGAAGCTCAGCACAGTGCACAGGCTCTGTAGCACCGGCGAGAATCCTGAAATCCTTTGAGTAGAGTTTTAACACCAAACCTTACCTGGGCAGCGCCGTGAGGCTAATTTTTTGATTTTCAACTGCTAAGGGATTTTTTTACGTGCGCAACAATGCACACGATCGTCCGATCTCACTACCCAGAGACTAGGGGAAATTACTAGAAGTCCGAGTCAATTTGAAAAAATCACGGCCCTTACCGGGGATGGAACCAGGAACCTCTAGCACTCTGGTAATCTGGTAATCTGGTAATCCTAGTTTCAGCTTCATAGCAAACGGGTCACCCCACAGTTGCTCCGCTCCTGTGCCAACGAAAAACAAACGCAGCTCACAGTGTCACGCCATGCACTCAACTCAGAAGCTGGGCGACGAAACTACATCCTTCCAGTCTACAAATGGAGCAAAAATGCAACGGCCATCGCCTGGCAGAGAAAAAAAAATTACATTTGCCACGGCTTAAAAAAAAACGGTGGCCGTGTCTAGCGTCCATTTTGACCGGAAGCATTATATGAGGGTTAATAAACGGTCACCCCAGCAGTACCCTCATTATTAGCTGGGAAAGGGACTTAGAACATTACATCCACCAGCAGGTGTCGCCCCTACAACGACCTGCCTGCCATCGTTAACGACTGTTCACTCAACAGCCATGCAGTTCTTTGGCACGAAGGAGACACCTTGAACTTGGGTTTCGGACTGCCGACTCCCTACTAAGATGTTATTTTATGTTTTGTTATCACAATTGATGTCACTGCACATTGGGCATACCCATGCGTGCTCTAGCACTCGTTGTGGACATCATGCCCCGAGACCACGCGCCACCCCCCCCCCCCCCCCACACCAAATGGTGAGGTAAAGAAGTTCATTGAGTGAAGTTTGTAATCGTTTATATCGTCCGTGTAGATAATAGTGACTTTTTATCGTACCTATATTAATCATCATCATCTTGTGACGTGTAATGTGAATGACATTAAAGTTTATGTGTCCTGTCACAATCGTCAGTGGTGACTCGTCAGGATGGTCACAACTGTATTTGCTGATGCTGTGCCAAGTGTGCCAGTTATTATATTATGCAGGCAGGACTGCATTTGTTGCAGCACATCCACCAAGAAGAAATCTAGTGGCACATTAGCGTAGGCACCTCAAGTGGTGGGTTTCCGATACTAAGCAGTAGGGCTGTACCGAATATTCGCTTCAGGGCCGAACAGTGGACCTTTTGACAATTCGGTATTAGACCGAATTGTTGCGGTCGGGCCGAGTACGAATAGTAGTTACCTTACACCCGCTTCTGCATACACGGCCCTTATGCTGACAACATGGAACGATTGGTTTTGTAAAAAGCTAATGCAGCTTTCATGCCTTAACTAAGCTGTCAGTGACAATTTCCAATTTAGTTACTTGTTATAATACTTAGGATTCTTTCATTCCTAGTTATTAGTTACCACAGGCTGACTAAAGGATGCAAAACATAATATGTTTTTAAATGTTTACTATTCTGTACGAATACTAACTAGACATGGAAAGAATATAAACTCCGGCCACATCCAAGTCGATAATATGAAAATCAAACAAACGGAAACATATAAGTACTTGGGTGTAAACTTCAACTGCTCCAACATGCTGAGAGAAGAAATACAATCTAGAATACAGTCTAGAAATAAAGTATACTATGCCCTTCAACGTCTGCTAAAATTCAAGTTACTGTCTCGCAACACCAAGATCAAAATATATAAAACGTTGATAAGACCAGTCGTTTTATATAGCTCTGAAACTTAAAGCAGAAATAAAAGAGATGAGGCCTTATTACAGATTTTCGAAAACAGTCTTACGACAAATCTTTGGACCCATAAAAGATGCTAAACGCGGGGAATGGAGAGTGAGAAGCAACAACGTAACAAATAATCTGTTCACCATTGATCACTGGCATCATGAGAGCTAACAGACTAAAATGGTTAGGGCATATTGAAAGAATGTCAGATGACAGAGAAGTAAAAACTGTATACACCTGAGAGAGGAATAGGCGTAGACCACGAGGCAGACAAAAAAGAAGTTCGAGAGATAATGTCCAGCCAGACCTGCAAACAACTGGTGTCACAAATTGTGAAGATAAGGCCAGCCAGAGAGATAAATGGAGACGAGTAATATCTGCAGCAGTCAAACCTCAAGGGCTTGGAATGCTAAAGAAGAAGATGACTATTCTGTACTACTTTATGTGAAGTAAAAGTTCAGCGTACATTTGACATTATGAACGTTTAAAAAAAAAAGATATATTATATACACTATACACATTGCCCGGCTCTCTAGCGTAGTTGGCTAAACCGGATTGCGCGGGGACCGGATGAGGAACTTCTTGTGGTCCAGGTTCAATCCCGGGGGTAGACAGGAAAGCCACATTTTCTCCCAGATTTAGGGTATTTACAATGGAATCAAGGCCAAAAGGTTGCGATATCCACAATACCGAGCCAAAGGGTTAAGAACTCATGGCTTCTGGATACTAAAAAAAAAAAAAAATACACTATACACTATTCGGCTATCCTCCGAATAACGGACACTAAAGATGGCGGCCGCAAAATATCCTCAGTCACGTGTCAATTGGGCACTTGCAGTCACGAGCACATGGAGGGAAAACTAGGATTAGAGTCTGTTGACAATTTCGAGAAACGGAACAAACCGCCGAGTTAAACTCGCCGCCGAGAGTTTCCCCCGCGCCGCTGCGCGCGGCGCAGATGGGGCTAAACTAGATGGCTGGGACCCACGAGCAGCAGCTACCGCATCTCCTGCAGCGTCCGTCATATTATTTGCTCGTGTGGGAGGCTCTCGGCAGAGTGTTCGTCGGAAGAAAGTCGGCAATTTACGCGTGAGTGACGCCCCGTTATGCTATATTTTTTTACGCCAAGCAGCGCCTTGTTCCGATCATACTTAGCCCAGTTTCAATGGCGCAACAGCCACAAACAGCAGATTTTCGGCCACTATTTACAACTTCTGTGCCATAATTTCCAGATATAAAGGCATACAATTATCGGTAAGTAGTCGATTTGATATAACATTTGTTTCGTATATTATTAGTTTTGACTTCAATTTTTGAATGTTTACAACACATGACACGTGACTAAGGCTCGTCAGGATATTTTGCGGCTGCCATCTTTAGTGCCCGTTATTCAGAGGATAGCCCACTATTCGTTTTCGTATTCGGCCGAATAGTTGGTCCCGTTATTCGTATTCGGCCGAATAGTGAAAATCACTATTCGGTACAGCTCTACTAAGCAGTATCAGTGCATAAACATACATATTATATGGACGAACATAAATAAGTGCTTTGCATACCCATATTCTACACAGAGGTTTTACAAGTCTACAACACACAGGCAGCAGATTTGTGTATGCCTATCCTGTGCAGGTGTGCTCTTAAGACCACAGTGTCCTGTCTGAACTCTAAAAAAATTGATGTTTGTTCTTTTCTGTTGAGTTTGTTTATGCTACCGTGAGACTAAAGAATCTTAGTGCTGATGGCAGACCAACAAAGCAAAACCGGAAAACCACTCCTTCCCACGACGCTTAAATAATGGATCAAAATATATTCTTCCTAACGACGCTTGAATAGATCGCAAACTATACCTCCCCACGACGCTTAGCTTGAAGTCTAAACATTGCTATCCATCGAGCAAGAACGACAGAAGTGGAAACTGATGATGATGGTCTAAATGTTTTTACTAGATAACCTATTGAGGCTCTCATAGTGATGTTTTTTTTGCAGTGAATAATTTGGGACCGGTATTCAGAAGAGTTCCCAAATGTGTTTCTGGTTTTGTCTTGGCCAACATCTAGTCCACAAAATGTTTCTTCTATTTTCCAGGTATGTGAAATGTTTCTTCTATTTTCCAGGTATGTGAAATGTTTCTTCTATTTTCCAGGTATGTGAAATGTTTCTTCTATTTTCCAGGTATGTGAAATGTTTCTTCTATTTTACAGGTATGTGAAATGTTTCTTCTATTTTCCAGGCATGTGAAATGTTTCTTTTTTTTTTTCCAGGCATGCAAAATGTTTCTTCTATTTTCCAGGTATGCAAAATGTTTCTTCTATTTACCAGGCATGTGAAATGTTTCTGCTTTTTTCCAGGTATGCAAAATGTTTCTTCTATTTTCCAGGTATGCGAAATGTTTCTCCTATTTTCCAGGTATGTGGAATGTTTCTTCTATTTTCCAGGCATGTGAAATCTTTCTTCTGTTTTCGTGGTCCCTCAAATATTTTGTTCTATTCTCCCAGTCCCTGAAATATTTCTTCTATTTTTCAGGTTAGGGGGATATTTCTTCTGTTTTCACAGTCCACGGAATACTTCTTCTATTTTTCACAGTCCGCGGAATATTTCTTTTATTTTCACAATCGACTCAATATTTCTTATATTTTCTCAGTCAGCAAAATATGTCTTCTATTTCCCAGGTCCGTAAGTGTAAACAGTTTGAAGAACACTGTGCTAAATGATCTGTTTTATTTTCCTAATGTCCGTACTCAGTCGGAAGCGTCACTAATATGAACAAACTCAGCCATACAAAACATAAAACTGGTCAGGGTAATAAAGGCTGAAATGACCGCCACGATAAAGGACCATCCGACGTAGAAAGCGCCCAGAATGTCCACACTCAGGGCGAAGAATCGAAGGACCTCCCTGTCATCCATTTTCAGAGCTTTCAAGTAGTCGTGACCTTTGATTCCCATCACCACCAGCGCCATTAGCGTCATACATCCTGCAGGGGAAGAGATAAAATGGTCGTTTTCAAGCAGACGACAAGCAGACGCCGATTTCTATCGCCACAATTTTTTTTTTTTTTTTTTAACAATCTTTTTGTTGTATAATGACGGGCAGTGACAACTCGTGTATAGACACTTTAAATCTGCAGCACCCACTATTTTCACCCCATATTATCCATAATATTTAATATAATAGGCGCCCCTACCCTCCACACACCCTTTTCCCGCCTTCAAATTCGTTATCGAATTTCTACACTATATAATCCTTAAGCTTAAAGTCATAGCCACACCCCAGTTCATGAAAAAAAATAATAATTGCAGTGCACTTACATGGAACTGTACGATTCATAGTTCCAGCAACGCTGTTTTAACTTGTACACATGCACAAACACTTTGTCGATGCTGTTATATTAATCAGTCAGGTGGCGCTAAGTAGGGGCATTACAATGCATGTCGTTTTAAAATTAATGAACCAATCTTAGTCTTTTTAACGAATAGATAAATCTTATTTTTTTTTTTTTTTTTTAGTAAATGGGTTAGTCGTGTTTTTTTTTTTAAATAAAAGGATGTCTTATTTTTTATTTTATTTTTTTGTTTTGTTTTTGCTTTTAATGAATTGATCAATCTTATTTTTTAAAAGAATGGATCAATCTTGTTTTTGTTTTCTTAATGAATAGATCAATGTAAGCTTTTTAAGGAATACACTAGTCTTAGTTTTTAACGTATGGATCAATCTTAGTTTTTTTTTTTTTTTTTAATGTATGGATCAATCTTATTTTTTTTAATGAATGGATCAATCTTGGTAAAATTTTTTTTCTTTTTACGAAGTCCGACCAATTTACACACTGATTGACCTTTCATTCATGCTTAGATCCCACGAGAGAGTGTAAAATACGTCCCATGTTTCAGAATTGTTAAAATTTTCCGCATCCCGAACACAAGACAACTTGATCAACGTGACACCCCCCCCCCCCCCCCCCCCCCCAAACGTAGACTAGCCTGAGAAAGCATGAATGAAAGCCTAATTACACTTCGTAAAATATTCCGTTTGTTTTTTAATGCATGGATCAATGTTATTATATTTTTTAAACTGAATTAATCAGTCTTTTTTTTTTTTTTTAGCATGGCTCAGTCGAATTTTAATGAATAGATCAATCTTAGTTTTTTTATGAAATGAACTCCCTTGAAGACGGAGTACATTTGCACGTGAGGCAGGAAACAGCAAAAGCCAGTAAAACACGCAAAACTCAGATCCCGGTAAAAGCCAGAAGTCCAAATAAAGATCTACCGGGACGTTCCGCCGGAATTCAAGCCGTTGAAGAAGAAGAATGAATCAATCAATCATATTTTTTTTTTTAATCTATGGATCAATCTTAGTTTTTTTAAATGAGTGGATCAATTTTTTTTTAAACGAATGGATCAATTTTATCATTTTTGATTACAGGTTGTTCTGCAAAATTAGTGACATCTGTCCAATGATGACTGTTACCTTTCCTTTAAAGTCAACAAGGCAAGCCGAGAGTTATCCTGATGCGTGAGCAAGCAACATATGGTCTCCAAAATACTGCCCAGGTTTTGTGCTACAGAGATCAGGAACTTCATCCCTCGACCTTAATTTTCTCGGTAAACAAATCCGAGAGGCAGAAGTTACAGGTTATAAGTGCTTGTCAGTTGGCGTAGACGAGGGCGCCACGGGTTGCCTCTGACGGTGGGGTCACGCTCCCCGTCTTCATGGGCTGTGATTCTCATCCTTCCACATAAGTAAAGTAAGTAAAGAACCCTTTCCCACTCCTTCAGAAGTTTGGGCGTATAGGGTTAAACCTAAATTTTATAAACCAATTGGCACTTGGTGGGTAATGTGGTCAGTATCACGGTGATCGTGTTTACTCCCCAAGACTTCTACCTTGTACTCATTTATGTTTGGGTCGACCTAAGAGCCACGGTCATTTTTGCAACAACAACAAAAAGTCCGGCTTCTTCAGGGCCCGAAACCACGACCTTCCAGGCAAACTCTAGCAGCTACAACACAGTGGCCCACCGTG